CTTCGTCAATGCATGCAAGGCTATCTGGTTCTACTGCCATTGGAAAAGCGAAACACACTATGTTTGACAAGACTGCTAACTTCAACTATGTGAAGAAAGGTAGCAAAGTACGTAATGCACTTTGTATAGTTTAAATGGAGCATGATTGACTGACTGTCATCTTATTCGAATGAAGTGGCTGAATTGACAAAGGACTAGTAGCCAGGATACTACCATGGTCAATCCATGGTTGTGGACATAAAATAACATAGACGTTAACATGTTTCGCTACGCAAACCGTAACATAGTAAAGGCACGGCTGATATACAGGCAGCTAACCGCGTCATAAAATCAGTCAGTCAGATTTGATGACCACTTATTCTTTCAGGTCTCACAGACAGGTGCACCAGACAGTGTGTGCAATGTTTCTGATGCTGTGCCAATATTTGTGTTTCGGCAAAAGACAACCCGAGTTCTGCAGTTGAGTCCTTCGAGACACCTGCCCAAGAATAGTCTTGATCTTGACGGTACCCGGACTGTTTGACCTCTCGGCTTAGCAGTTAGTAGTTGCTTCGCCTTTCTTTCTGTAGGCATTCGAAGCAGGTGCCAAAACAGACGCAGATTTCAATCTGCAAATGCAAGTTGTACACCAAGGAAGTACTATGTTTAGACGCATGAGCCTAGCGATTCGTCTGAAATAATCCGTTTCAGCCGCTTATCCCCGGAATCAAAGTTTTTCAGTCATCCTCCTTGATTCATGATCTTAGGTAAGCAGGAGGACGAACGTCGACTTGAAAACATCGAGTGCTTAATCTTCAAACTCAACTCTGTTGTGGCCACAGCAGCTGGGGTTCGTTAACGCGGAACACCACTGGCTGCTCCAATTCGTAGGTCGATCTCTTCCTCCAATTTTCTATCGCCAGTAAATACAATTCCGAGGTACTTGAACTTCTCCACCCGCTCCACTGCCTCTTCGTTAATCTGAGGAGAGCAACGGACAGGAGAACGAGAAAGCACTAGGCTTTTCGTTTCAAATACGCTGGCCACGAACATTTCCAGACAGCGCTGTAGATCAGATTCAGAACATGGCAAACAAAGTAACGCAAAGTTTCTGCGTATGGCAGTCTTCTCGTCTCGACATCTCCAACACCGTTACACTCATCGCAATGGCTGCTCTTGACTATTGTATCCAGGTAAAACACATAAGAACGAGGGTACTACGATTCCAGTTCCCCAATCCGCTGGTGTCCTCCCCGAAGTCACTGTAGTCTGGCATAAATGTGTAAGCCAATACATGCCGCGTTCGCCTAATCCTTTTCCGTCTAAGGACGGATTTCATCGATTCCGACAGCCTTGCCTCTGTTCCAGCCTTTCACCGCTGATGTGATTACAGTTGCGAAAGACTAATATCTGTTGCTTGCTGCGCTTCAGGCGAGTCATCGTATGGTTGCTCTATCCATCATTGAATTATGTCCTCATCCTTAGTAGGAGACTGTCAGGATTCTGGCACTTCCCCTCTTTCATCTAGGAGGCAGGGGGTGGTCTGTCAGAATACTGTTTTCTGTCTGAAAAGTCGTCTCCAGTACCTCACCGAATTTTCCCTCGAGTTAGCTTTTTCGTGCCGGATTTGAGTTGAGCGCTCTTTGTTTCCAAACCGTCTTTTGAATATAGTCTTCTTATGGATGACAGCCAGTTGTACTTCTTCTGTCTACCAGGAGGTTGTTTTCTGACCTCCAGGCGGCAGGTTGACTCGTTTAAATCCGTAGTATTCGGAGGCAGCGTCGAGCATGCCGATCTTGAATAGTTTCCACTCGATTTCCACATCAGTGGTCATCATTCAAACCTGGTCTGACCAAACCTTCTTGAGGCGTTGCTTGCATGTTTTCCCTTCATACTCGAAAAAGACGATGTTTTCCACTTGAATATCTGATCGCTTCTGCGCCAGGTTTTTACATTGTGCTCCACTGTCCGCAGCGTTTGGTATCAAAAGCAAGGTGATGATCGGATGACAGATCATCTTCCTCAACGCGAACATCCATTATAGAGGTCGACTTCTGTGCACAAGCTTCTCGGTGCCAGGTATACAGGAGCACTTTTCGATGCTCGAAGAAGGTGTTCATGATGGACATCCGTAATGGATTTGTCCAATCACGCTGCTCCACTTTTCAGCGTCTACTCTGACATGCGCATTACAATCGCCCATCAGTATGAGGGACTCCGCATTCGGCACTTCGGACGGAGCACGCTGCACTTCCTCAAGGAAGGTCTCATATTCTCCTTCCAAATTGGGCGCATA